CACACACACACACACACACACACACACACACACACACACGCACACTCACACACGCACGCATACACACTCTCACAATCAATCAATCAATCAATCAAACCCCTTTTTTTTTTTTTTTTTCAATTTTTGCATGTGCATTTTTTTAAAATACCTCATACCTCTGCAAAAAACAGATATTCATTTCCAAAAAAAAATACAGGTAAACTCAAGGACCATGTATCTCATTATAAAAAATGAAAAAAAAAAAATTTGCTTTTCTTTATATATATATATATATATTCTTTAAATCAAATTTAGTTTTTGATTTTTAAAAAATCCTAAACAAAGTCAGATTCCAAAACATTGTCTGTGTTCGTTGCGAATCTTGGTTAATTCCGCTTAAAGTTCTAGCGTTGGTCCGCTGCATAGGGTAATGAATACGTTCTTTTGCCATTTCCAAAATTACGGGATCCTCATCATCATCGTTGCTGTCCGAGTTCTTGGATGTCTACCCGTTGTCCAGGTAATCATGTGGAGGGTTCCTGTCATTGTGGGAAAAACTCGCGGGGTTGCGTTGGCGGTGGTATGCAGAGTCAGTCTCATTGGTACAACATAGGGTTTGCCTCCTATATTTCGGAGGACAATTGATCGTCTTTCGAAGTCCAGGTTAGCTCGTAGTGCTACCAAGGCGGGAAGGCCGAAAAGAACATCGTAAGTATTAATATCTAATACTACGACATCTCCCAAAGCATGCACCTTCCCTAATCGAAATGCAACATTGGTCATCCGCCCCATCGTTTTTATCTTTTCTTCGTCGGCGGAAACGAGCTGATCTCTTTCCGTTAGCATTATTAAGTCGTTCTTCCTTCCCGCTCTTTCAACCACTCGTAGCAAAATAGCCAAAACCGCTGCTCCTGAATCAATGATTGCATTATACGGGACTCCTCACACCTTGATATCGCATTCCATGGGATAAGTTTGATTCGCAGAAAGTGATCATCCTTCTGTATTAGCCTTATGCGTATCGGATCGAAGGTGCATGCGGCCTTTTCGTCTGGTATTGTTTTTTTCGTTTTCGTGTTGGTTGTTCGGGCGAGACCAAATCGCTTCCGATTCGCCTTGCAGTGTTGCAACATACACTCATTAGCCTGTTCTGATATTGAAAGCAGATGGCCAATCGGAAGAGGAATCCGATGATCCAATGCTCGAACGATGTTCAGAACGTCAATTTCGCCAGTGACGAAAGTGGGTCCTCTCCACTCCATCTCTCCTGGACACGGTCGCCATTCCGCCACTTCTTTCGGTTCCGGCGCCGGTCTGATGGTCCGAATCATTCCAAGCCCCGGATACCCAAGTGATACATACTGATCTAATGGAATGAGCTCAACAGCCTCCTCTGAGGTAGCTAGCGCACTTCCTCCCCCCTCCATTTCTTCCATCAGGGCTCCTACCCGTCCAGGTTCGTTAGCGATCGGGGCTGCAGCTACTGGTGCGACTCCGACTCGCTATTGTGAGGGCCGATGAAGGCAATCTCGGGCTAGATGCCCGGGTTGATGGCATGCATAACAAACGTTTATGTTGTCCGCGGCTCCTCCGAGAACAGGTGTCGGGGTCAGTCCTTGTTGGATGGGGGCGGCACGTACTGCGATGGGCCGCATGTTTCTCATCATAGCTTCCAAGCGAGCATTCTGCTCTCGTTGTTCCTTTTTGCTTTCTTGGATTAGGCTAACTAGTGCTTTGGTTAGTTCCAAAATGGCGGTCGATTCATTCGACCTTGCAGGGTTCTCAATCGGTGGCGGGGGTGCCGTCATTACAGGTGCTGTCATCACAGGAACGCGGGCGCTCGTAATCACACTCGGGGCTGCTCGTTTAGGGGCTATTTGTTCTAGATGGGTAACACGGCCTGACACGAACCCCATGTTTTCGAACTTGTTTTGCAACGCGGCTAGCTTGGCTCTTTTCCTCGCGAGTTCATACGAGTCTCCCTCCTTAGGATAATCTTCTCCTTCTAGGAAACTCACCGCGAACTTCCGTTTCATCTCCTCTGCAGCGGCCATAATCTTTTGCAGTGTACGATTGATGGGGGAAAACTGTTTTCGCAGTTCCGCCCTTATCGTTCGGCTGCGAAGTCCATCGATAAACAAATCTCTCCCTACTTGCTCGCCCCGCTCAGTTTTCACAAACATTCGGTAGAACCGATTTCGATATTCTGCAATAGACTCGAGAGGTTTTTGAACTCGGTCTTTGATCATGAAGAGCGCTTGCTCTGGATGGACATAATCTAATCGATTCAAAAAATCTCGCTCGAAAGTCGGAAGACCCACCCATACATAAGTGTTGAACCAATGATGAGCGTCCCCTCCTAATCGGGCGGGAATATTCACATGAGCTTCATTATCGTCATATTGTTGTGCCCGAAGCGTGGCCAACCATGCTCCAGCGAGGTGATGTGCAGAGTCAAACAGATAGAGATCAGGTGGTGTCATAAGAGCCCGTGCTCGTGGGGCGGGTTGATTAGGATTCTGTTGTTGGTTGACATTTTTCTGCGGATTCGGATTCTGTGGATTAGCATTCATGTTGGCTACCCGTCGATTAGCCGACCTAATCCTAGTGACGACAGGGTCGCGTTTATGCGCGCTCCGGAGTCGAGGTCGCCCTCGGTTAGCCAGATCACTTGATTATCGTGCTGTTAGTCTTATAACCCGACCACGTGTCGGGCTCTGATACCAACCTCACGCCCAGCGCGACTTCCTGATCGGAGTAGGATGTGGGCTTGAAAGTGCGAAAAGGGGTGTGCCAAGGATTTTTGGGAAAGTGGGGGTGGAGTCCCAGATCAGAACTGAGATCTCCTGTGGCAGAGTTTTTCGGGGGCACGAGTGCAATTTGCTTGAGAGGGCGGGTCTCATCTGGTCATAAGGCCAATGGCATGCGCGGATCATTCAAGGTCGTTCGATTCGTCTGTCTTGAGGACGGCGGTTCGACAGAAGGTCCACCCGGGGTGGGTGTGATTCTGATGAATTAGGCCGTCGGATGCCGCCACGTGGCGCCGGTCGTCGCGCGTTCGGGTTAGGCCCTCGGGTTCCCGGGGCTCTCTGGTCGCCACGTCACCGAGAATTTCTGCAGGGCGTGCGGGGCCCGTATGGGGCTATGGCTTTCCACAGAACGACCCTGAGTTGATGATACTGGAGAAGAAGTCGGAAGGGAGGGAAGTTAGTGGAGATAACGAAGAAGCCGGGGGAAATACAGTAGTGGGTGTGGTCCGAAGTGGGGAAATCATAGCACCGTGGATCCCTGGTTGTGGCAAGTGGAACTCCCTAGGACACAATCGATTTGTGGTTACGCAGGGGAACCTTTGTCGGAGGCACTCTTCTATCCAAGGGGTGAAGTATTCCGGGTCCCACGACGAGTTTGAGGCCCAGGAGCGTTTCATTTTGTCATCGTGGAGCCGCGGGATTCCTAGTGCGCGTTTGAGTATTCGAACTGTTGCGAATTACCGCGGGTGAGTACGAGTAAGCTGCGTGATTCGGATCACGTTTACACGTGTTCACTTGGGGCGATCGCGCCGCTGCATGCAAATGGCCACTAGTCACGTTCAGTCATTGAATATTTCCGCAGTCGCTATTTATTTCATGCGCGGGTGATCGCGAATTGATGCGCAGGAATGCATACAGTTTGCGCGAGTCACATCGCACCTATGCGTATTTCCCGTGCGTCATTCGCCGATGTCTGGGTCGACAAATACCCAACAAACCAATCGTCTAATCACTTCACAATTCCGTACGCAATCATTACGCACTCATTCCCGGGTGTGCCTAGTGCTCGAAAGAACGGAATAAGCAGAAAGGGAAGCAGTTCCGATGACTATGCGAAAGTTTCTTCCATGCTCATTAGGAATTCCAAAGTGATCAAGCAAGCAAAGATCCGACAAAAACAAGCAACAGACATGTCATACATTCATTCATTCGGCAAGGCATACAACAAGTAAAATCGAAATCAAACACAAAACGAGTGTGAGCCAGAACGAAATTCCGAAAACAACAGAAAAACGGGCGCATCGCCCGAGATCGAGATCAAAATTTATATACAAAGGCGAGGAGGGAGAAAAGACAAAGAAAACTGCAAATCCACATCCATCAACCTCAGCTCCCTATTCCTCTCTCTCTCTCTCTCTGATGCGGACAGTCCGTCATCACGCACCAACCCACGAAGTCGTCACCCCGCTTAGTCCTCCCGCACCCGTCAGGTTCGCCCGCGCCCACAGTCTGTCGTGGCCCGCGTCAACCCCGCGCGTTGGGCACCAGCTCGTCGGGTCGCCCGACTCCCACTTCAACTCACCTCTAACTTCGCTCGTGAGCCGACCCTCACTGATCGCGCTACCCCGAGCTTCCACTAGCTGGTTAAGAGAGCTATCTAATCGCACAACCGGGATTTATAGTGTGCATGCATGCGCGAAGAACACGGAAGTACAAGGACTTAGAAAGAGGATTAGGAGAGGGAGCACCTGCGTTCTGCATGGCCGGGCCGAGGCGTGGGGGACGTAACCTCTTTCCACGCATCGATCCCAGCATGCAGTCCGGGGGCTTGCAAGACACAGCAAGAGAAAGCGAGAGCGGGAAAAACGAAGTACAAGAAGAAGGGATACAGTTATAATGGCGCCCGCCCAAAATTACAGTTAGACACACGATTAAAGGCGCCGACTAATCAGAGTTCCGTTGCAGCCGCACAAAGAAGCGCGTAAGCAAAAAGGGTCGCGCGGGAGAAGAGAATCCTCATTGCAAAATTCCAAAATTCCTATCTAATGCGGAAAACTGAAAAGCAAAAACTTCGAAAAGAAAGTCCGAAATTTCGAGAGCCATCAGGGCTCGACAAGATTTGAAAAATAATTCAAAAGGAAACTTCAAAAAGAACGAAGCAGAATTTCCGCGTGATGTCCGCACCCAAAAGTCCATAACCGAAACAAAAAGGCGACGTCAACATTTATTATTCGTGCGCACGGCGGCGCGCCACTCACACAGCCAATCAACCAATTGATTGTCCCGGGGCCCACCCGGGCCAGAACCAGCCATTCGAAAGGAACCGACGCAAAAAGACGAAGAAGGGAGGACACCGATGCAATTTCCCATCCATCCCAATCTCCCGTATTTGGCCTATCCTTCCCTGCTTAGGACCCCTCGTCGCTACCGCGCAGAAAATCGTGCGGTGCGGAAATTGGTTCGTCACAAGGGGACCATCAGGACACAAACAAAATAAAAAAAAGAAAAAACAAAGCAAAAATATGTCACCTTCCACACATGTTGTGACAAAAATTTATCACGTTCCACATGCCGTGGCTAGATAACGGGCCTTGCTGCACTACTCTAGGCTCTTGAAATATTTTGAGAATTCGACTAGTGTTGTCAGAGAGGCGAGAGTCTCGAAATACCCACCGTCGCTGCACTTACTGTAGAAGCTGTTCCACTGGGCCTCGCTGCACTACTCTCAAAATGTGCAAAACGAGAGTGAATCTTCCGCTAGAATATGGAAAGATACAAGGCCATGATTTTGTCTTTTGTGCATTTCAAGAGTAGTGCAGCGAGGCCCACTAGCTGCACTCTCGAAACCCCGGGTGTCGTCGGACTTGACAGAAGACATGTACTGCTACGCTACGGGACAACATCGGGCTGGTTTGGCCGCCGGGACAGAAGGTCCACTCTCGAGAAACGAGCCGGTGGGCGGACAACTCCCAAGGACACTTGCAAATTCGTGTTTTGCAGGCGGGCGACTCTCGACGTTTTGAGAGTGGCATTATAGAGTGCCTTCTGACACCTCTCGATCTGGTTTCGAGAGTTTCCTTATCCAGAGTAAGTGCAGCGACGACCCACTCTTGAAACTTTGAGAGTCCAGAGTAGTTGAGGCCCAATGAGGCTCACCGTCCCCTCCTCCGTATCTCCTTAACGCGCTCTCACAGGCTGAATTCCTATAGGAGTAGTGGTAGGTAATGAAAAGAAAGATATGTTCCATGACATGGCAGAAGGCCAGATCAAAAAGATATGTGAGGTGAGAGAAAAAAATATGGCTGTCCCCCAATGAGGAGAAGACAGCTTTCAAAAAAAAAAAAAAAAAAAAAAAAAACATTTGAGGCCAATGACTTAGCGTCTATGGTTGAAAAGGGAACATCATAGTACAACTAAGCCCTAGCATTAACTTTTGTGTGTGTCATCCTCGAATGAGCAGGGGCCATGCACGCCACAGATAGTACTTCATAGTGCATAGTACGTAGTACAACGTAGTACATAGTACACAGTATTACGATGTACATATTATGTAGGTACATAGTACATAGTACATTACATGGTGCATCGAACATAGTGTGTATCATTGCTAAGTAAATGGTAGATACATTGTATGTAGTGGTACATAATACATAGTACATAGTACATCACATGGTGCATAAAACATAGTATGTAGCACTTCTATGGTACATACATGGATGGAAAAAAAAAAAAAAAAACCACTTTCGAGGGCGCAGCGCTACCGGGAGCACTGCGCCCTTCTTGACCGGTGCTCTCACACGCACTTTCACACGGCGCGTCTCTGCTAGGCAAGGTTGACCTGCGCTTTCATGACGCGTCTCTGTGGCGCGTCGAACTACGCAACGAGGGTGCCTGGGAGGCTGGTGGGGGCGACGAGTTCGCGTGTTTTATGAGCTGCTTCAGGTGTGGTTCGTGTGGATGCCATGTTTCTTTTGACGTGCTCTCCCTGTCCGTTCTGAGGTGGTTAGCTTCGAAGTTGGGTTTTGTGCAAGTCACATGGACAGGCAGCATGCGCGGCACTCCAAGTTACAAGTGAATCAACGTTGACTGGTTGTTCTTCTGTTGCGAATGAGGCTGCCTATGAGATGATGCGTGGGGGGAAACTCTTCCCTCTTCCTCAATCAGGGTAAGTGTATGGTAAGTGTGGTGGCTTGGACCCCCTGTGGCGACTCGCCAACGGGTTTGGCGAAGGGGAGCCAGACTCTTTTCGATTCCAAGGAATCGAAGATGGTCGATTATGCCTTTTGGAGTTAGTGTTGCCTTGAGCCGAGAAGCTAGCAATGGGAGGAAGGGAATCTTTCCTTCCCTAAAGGCGCAGGGGTAGGGTTTGAAGGGAGGGAGGGAGGTGGCAGGAAGCGATGGTTGAGGAAGCGGGGATAGGGGTTGTGTGTTATTTAAATATGATCCACGCGTGGTCTAGATTAATTCCCTTCTTGAAAAATAACCAAGCCTCCTTAATCCGTGTGATCCGCTATTGATTACACAATTGAGGATAATCTGAGATCTCGTTTTCTGATTCTTGATTCGTTTTCCTTGCGAGGTTCATCGGGTATTTTCTTGAATTTCTGATGCCGGATGAGTCGTTTAGATTTCGCGATCGATACTTTTGTGTTGTGGTGTTTTGTCTAATGATTGTTGTTCCCTGATTAGATTTTATCGAAATTCCTGAATTTTGTTCTGAAATTTCATCTCTAAATAGCCGTTTTCAATAGTCCTTTATGCTTGTTCCTTGATTTGATCTCGATCTTCTTCAATAATACTTTCTAAAGAAATTTCGATCTAAAAGGTCAAAGTTCTATAACTGGGGGTCGATAGATTTCCAAACCATTCTTGAAACTTACATCTCAAAATCTTGGTTCTGAATTTCGATTTCTAAAATTGATTTCCTATTGCAATTTTCGGAGATTAATCTTGCACCAATTTGTCTCACAAAAATTGACGTTGGAAACTTTCATATAACTCTTTTGGGATCTTTCGTATTTTCAACCTATTTTTGCTTGTCTCTTCCTTGAGGAGGGTGTTGGTTGCGGGAATATGAAGGTATAATGGAGGGAAAGGAAGCGCTCTGCGGGAAGGGGCTAACTGCAGAGTGGAATTAGGGTATAGCAGCAGTGGAGATGGTGGCTTCATTGCAGTAAGTCTTACCGGAGTAAGGTTGGATAGGCTTGGGAAGTGGGTGTTATCAGCCCCTTCTTAGGCTTGTTTTGTGAGGATTCGCACGGGTGGAAGTTCGTAGGGGGGTGCAACAAGGGAAGGGTCTTTGTCTTCGTCAGTAGGTCAGAAGAACGTAGTTGGGACGATGCAGGCCGGTGCTGGAGCGTTGCTCTGTAACCAAGGGGAGCATGAGGCCTGAGGAGTTCTGTCGAGGGAGGAAGGCAGAACCAGCCACGTTCGACGTAGCCGTTGCCGAGGTTTTATCCCTGTCACCTAGGGGCGTGCGGCTAACGGTAGTTGTCGAGGGAGGAAGGCACTCCTTGCCGACTATACCAGGATGGTCGGTACCGGGGCATGGAGGTGCCCTGTAACGCTAGTATAGGGGGTTATGAGACCAGCCACGTTTAGGTTCGAGGACTGATCACGGGGATTTCGTTTTTTTTCTAACTGTTGCATGGAAGTTTGTTAGTCGGTGGTTTCGGTCCGGAACTCTTGCTTTCAATCTTTTTGTGGTGCCTGGATTGATCATCTCAGTTGTTTTTCGTTTAAAAAAAGGGCTTGCTGGTTTCCTAATTTTGTTTTATATTTCGTCAGAGGTTTGTCAGAGGCTCGTCTCATTTTTCTCCTATTAAAAACCTAACGGGATATCCTGTGGAGCTTTTGGGGACCTGCTTGAAGTAAGGGGCCAGGGGCATCAAATGATTCTTTACAAGGACGGAGAGGGGGAGGAAATAGGGTTGCTCGATGGGTACCGACTAGAGGGGCCTCTTATCAGATGCGATTGGCGTCGGGTAGTCTAAGCTGGCTGATGGGTACCGGCTGAGGAGAGGAAACTCTGGCGCGATTGGCGTTGGGTAGTGCTAGTTCACCACCTTGATGACGGAGACTGGGATTCTTGTGGGGGCAAAGAATGTCAGGGTGATGATGGTGCTCGGCCCCTGCGGAGAAGAGGCTTTCTAAAGTTCTTCACGACGACGGAGTTGGGAGGGACGGAGGTGATTGGGAAGGAGGAAGTTGGTAGTGGATGCGATTGGCGCTGAAATTTCAGCGGGTATCGGCCACTGCTCGCTAACTTCACCCGGATCAGTTTGCGTTTCTTCCCTTCGATGATAGAGGCAGGATTGTTCTGTGGGGCTATTTTCCAAAAAGAGGTTGAGTGGGATGAGTGGGATGATGTGGCATACTGCGTAGCCACACGGGCCTACAGGGCCCGTCCCAGACATTCAGCCTAAAAGCCTAAAACTTAGGGCTTACAGGCCCCGTTCATTTCAGCCTGGATGCTGAAAAACGAGGGCCTGCAGGCCCTACCTCGTTTCAGTCTATTTCAGGGTCCTTTCAGACCCAGAGTTTTCAGCCTGAAACGGAGGGCCATTTTCAGGCCCTCATTGTTTCGACCTGCCCCTAAGACTCAGGCACGGAAACAGGGATGTGGAACAAGCCCAAAATAGCCTGCTCCTCACGTGCTCGAGCAGGAGCTGCAGCTGCAGCCCCTGCCTTCCTTCGGCAGGCTCAAGAGGCACACCCGTAGTACATAGGAGGATCCCATGCACTTCACGGGTAGGTAGTGTCAGTAGGAGAGGTAGTCTTCAGGATTCGGCCGCAGCACTCAGGAGGAGCACTGCAGTAGTCTTCAGCGCTAGGCAGTAGTGGTAGCGCTAGCGGTAGTCTTCGACGCTGGGCGCCATAGCTGTAGCTGTAGTCTTCAGCGCTGGGCGCTGGTAGGTAGTAGATCGTAGAGTGGAGAGAGACTGGCGGAGGCGAGTGTTACTTACCTGTGGCGCCATCGCTCCAGCTCCATCTCCGTGGTACCTTCATCAAGGCGCCAACTTCACAGGTTAGTGCTAGACACAGAGAGAGAGAGAGTTTTTCTTCTTCCTCTTCTAAGTCCACTTTCTCTTCTCACCCTCTCGCCACCTGACTTCTCAGACTACGACAGAGAGAGACAGAGTTGTGACTTGAGACTTGACGACATTGGATCCGGACTTGACATTTGGGATTCAGACAGTTCGACGAGGGACTATTTGGGCTTGTGCCGAAGACTTGGTGTTGACGACATTCCCATCTTCTCCCTCCTCTTCGTCTATCCCCTTCCTCCTCGTCTGTGCATGTTCTGGGCTGGTGCTGTCTTCCTGTGTGAAGCGCCAGACCCATTCACACTATGAAAC